AAAAAAAAAAAAAAAAAAAATTCAAAGTTTTCAAAAGGGGTTGTGAATTGTTTTCTATCATCATCATCATCATCATCATCATCATGATAATGATTAGTTTCATTTAACAGAGACCCTTAGGCTTTTTTTTTTTTTTGTTTTTAAATTTTTTCTTCCAGCAGTACCATCATTTATCTCCCAGTTTTAACAATCGAGAATATTCTATATAAAATGTATTATAATTTTTTTTTTTTTTAAATTTTTTATTTTTGGTTGTTGTTGTTGTTGTTGTCGTTGTCGACGTCATCGTCGTCATGAATGCGAGTGATTGATTTATGTTTTTTTATGTAATAAGTCGAATGACAAGAAAGTCAGAGAGAAAAAGAGAGAGAGGGAGACGGAAACCGAAAATAAATTTTAAATTAAAATTAAATCGAGGTTAAAATGATCCATGTAAAATTGATTTCATTTTTTTCCCCTCCCCTCCTCTTCCTACACATCTTAGTCTGGGGAGGGGAGGGGAAAAAGAGAAAACGATGTAATAACAAATTAATTGTGCGCGACGATTTTTCCTTTCATTTTATCATTATTATTATTATTTGTTTTAAAAAAATCCGTTGTGAATGGTAACGTGTGTGTTTAAACCGTGAGAAAATACATTTTTCTTTTTTTTTACGTCTATGGTTTCTTTTTATCCGATGAGTTAGTATATACCCTCTTGAACGTTAGTGTACTACTATCCCACGTTTTAGCTCTCTCTCTCTCTCTCTCTCTCTCTCTCACTCTCTATGAAAAGAAAGAAAGAAAGGAAAGTTAAAAACTCAAAGGGTTAAAGGTACGACAACAAAAAGAGGAAGAAGTCTGTTTTTTTTTAAAAAAAGGGGGTAAAGGGTCTCAAAATATCATTATTATCATTATTATTATTATTATTATTGTCTTCTCCTCCTTTTCATTTCTTTGAATTCTCTCGTTTGTCGAACGGTGGTTTCCAAATTGTCTTTTTTTTAGGACTTTTTCGTTAGTCGCTCTTTTATGAGGTCTTTTCCAAAGCGTTCACGAATCCTCGACCTTTAACACCATTTTCACGACGATTGTTTTAACCTTTTGGCAACCTTGGATTCTTCCCAAAAGAATATTCATTTAACCCTACCCTCACCACCACCACCACCACCACTACCTTACACTTGATTGAATGACGTCATTAAATAAAATAAATAAAAAAATCCAGGTCGAAACTCATTATCAAATGTGTTGGAAAAGTTTTATTCCAGGGGGAGCCATATTTTAATTTTATTCTCCGTTTAGATAATATTAATAATAATAATAATAATAATAATAATAATTTTTCGAGAGAGTGTGTGCGAGAGAGAAAGAGAGAGAGAGAGAGAAAACGTTTAATTTTTTTCCATCCTATTTAATGGCCGAGATTGAAATATTTCTTCGTATATCTCTGACGTTCGTATTTTATTAATAATAATAATGATAATAATAATAATAATAATGGATCAAAATGAAAAGTATTAAAAATTTATTGTCCCATCAACGGCAGGTCATACGAATACCTACAGGGCGTTAATGGTGTGTGTGTGTGCGTGTGTGCGTGTGTGTGTGTGTGTGGAATGGACTTGTAGTATTCGAGTTTAATTTTTTCCTCTTTTTATATTATAAAATGGCGTTCGTTTTTAATATTATGTAAAACATGTAAAATATAAATTATTATTATTATTATTATTATTATTATTATTTATCATCGTTACAGAGTGATAACGATTTTTAAATATCATTGAATTTGATTCGAGCTTTCCATTGTTTTTCTTCCGGTGAAAAGTGCGTAAATCAAATCGATTGTTTCGAAAAAATAATAATAATAATAATAATAATTAAACCTTTGTGTTTTTTTAGAAACAAGTTCAAAAATTAACAATAATAATAATAATAACAATAATAGTAGTAGTAAACTCGAAAGTGAAAATAAAACGAGAATGTGACATGTTTGTTTTTTAATACGTTCCAGAATTGTTCGTTGGATTTAACTAACAACTGCATGCGGTTTAAAAAGAAAATAAAAATGGTTCCGGCAGGAGCGTAGCCCTTGATTGGCGGAGGTGGAGAAGGTGAGTAACGATTACGTAACGTTTCGTACAATGGGGAAGGGAAAGGGAAAGGGGATAAGAGTCACGTAATAATAATAATTTCATTTTGATTATTATTATTATTATGACGAGAGTCCGAAAAGGAAACCTTGAGAATAAGATAACAGAACAATAATGTGAGAAAAAAGCACATTAGGAGATATTAATAACATAATAGACGGCCGTAATTAAATTAATAATAATAATAATAATAATCGTGGTACCGTTAAGGTGTAATACGATCGATGAGGCCAGAAAATTTCCACCAAAAAAAATTCGATCATTTTCGAAAGTGAAAATTTTCTATCAGTTTTATTATTATTATTATTATTATTATTATTAATATTACGCGATACGTAATTGTGGTTTAATGGCTTTTAAAATTCTTCAAGGTTCCCTTCTTCAGGTTTCAACTCGTAAACCTTAAAATTCGTTTAAAAAGGTATATGACGTGAGTGCGCGCGCAAGCAAGAACGCATTAAAAAGAAAACGAGTTAAATAATAAATGAGAGAGAAAGAGAGAGCCTACGCCATGGTTCTCTCGGTTGAGCGATTAAAAAAAAAAAAAAAAAAAAAAAAAAAAACGGAAATTACATTCCGGTAAAAATGATTATAAAATTTAATGCATCCGACTAACGACGACGACGACGACGACTGACGAGTTTGTCTTCTGCTAGACGCGGAGATTAGACGTTAAAAAAAGAGAAAGAAAGAAAAAATAATTTTTAAGGCCTTTGATAATCTCAAACGTGTAATACGTGCAAGCGTCGTAAGTGTGTCAGTCACGTTAATAACATGACAACATTCCCTTCCTTACCACCTCGTCACGTTTATAATATATACGCGTTAATCAATCAATCGATTGATCGATCGATCGATCGATCCATCGATCCATCGATCGATAGACTCATTGACTGATAGATTAAGTTTAAATCCGGTTTTTTTAAATAAATAAAAATTTTTTTTTTTTCGTTTGTGAATCTGATTGTGTCAAATCTATATCGTCGTCTGCTTTTTTGTTTTTCTTGAGTCTCCTGTAATAATAAGATCCACGCGTGCGACGTTTACCCTAAATTTTAATTTTTACCCCTCTCCCCTCCCCTCCTCTCATCCTCCTCCTCCTCTTCCCCCTTTTCTTCTTCTCCGTAAATCATGAATAAAAAAAAAAAAAAAATTGCGAGAACGGTTTTTTATTATTTTTGTTTGTTTGTTTGTTTGTTTGTCTCCTTTTTTTCCTTTTTTTTTTTTTGTCATTCCCGGTAATTGGTTGCCATTCATAAATGTCAGTAGGTTGTTGGTTGTTGGTTGTTTGTCTCTGCGGGAAAATTCAAAGTCAATTTTTTTTTTTTTGCGAAATGAAAAAGGCGTTGGCGAATGTGGAAAAAAAAAAAAAAAAATTTACTTCCCAAGGTTATGAAAGCTTTTAAAGTTTGAAATTTTAAAATTATTATTATTATCATTATCATTATTACTAAAAGTTTTTTGTTTTTTTTTTTTTCTGTTTCTTTTCATCATCATCAGGTTAAATGTAAAATTATGGAAGACTGCCGCGAGTCACTGGACGGTGAATCTATTTCGGGAGACGCCGACGAAGTCAGTTCAAATTTGGATATTGTGGATTTGGAAAGCAAACCATCGAGTTCGTCGACTTTGATTGCTAATGCCACGACGACACAGCAAATCGCCACCCTGCCCAGGTAAGATGAAAAAAAAATTTTTTTTCTGCTTTTTTTTCCTCCCCCCCCCTCTCGAAACGGAAATTAATTTTTGCGTCAGGTAAAATTTTTGCAAAAACTGTTACGTTATTTCCCCTTCCCCTCTCGCCACCCTCGAGGTTGAAAATTTTTCCCTCGCTTTTCTCATTTTTCCCCCTTCTTTCCCTCTTCCTCCACTCTCAAAACCTTAATTAAACGTGATACGACGGTTGTTGATTTTTTTTTTTTTTTTAATATTTTAAACGGGGTTAAGTTAATATTATTATTATTATTATTATTATTATTGAAAAGGTAAAAAAAAAGGTTGTTAAAAGGGATTTAAAAGGTGGAAGTAAAAGAATGAAGAAGAAACAAAAGAAAAAAAGGGTTGAAAGGAAGGAAGGGAAGGGGAGGTTAGAAAAGAAAAAAAAATTTAATTCAATTGTCTGTGTGCGGGCGATCGGGGGAGGAGGGGGGAGTGAGGGAAAGAAGAGGGGAAAATAGGTCGTCGTCTGTAATTAATCACGATAAAACCACTTTTAAAAAGGATTATTTAAAAATTTTTTGTTTTGTTTTGTTTCGACCACAAGTAACCTAAAAAAAAAAAAAAAAAAAAAAAATCTGAGAGGAAATGACGTAGGAAGAGAGAGAGAGAGAGAGAGAGAGAGAGAGAGATGGGGGGAAGGGAAGGAAAGGGGGTGAAAGGTAAAATAGAGGCACGATTAATAAAAGAAAATTTTTTTTTTTTTTTTTTTTTATAAAATATCGATTTGGAATGAATGCGCGAGGTTGAATATTTTCCAGTTCCGTTTCGATCGTTCTGGAAAAAAAAAAAAAAAATCGACGATGTATGGGCACGTTCAGTCATTTCTTTTTCTGCGGCTTACGTCATTCGAATCCGCCGCCATTTTTATTTTTGTTTACATTTTCCTATTTTTTCCTTTTTTCCTTTTTTTTTTTTTTTTTTTATTTGCAAAGCGTTCGTATTTATTTATTTTTATTTTTTTTATATCTTTCTTTTTTTTTTTTTTTTTCTTTTTCTTTTTCTTTTCATTCATTTTCGTGTACGTTATCTGTCGTGGAAAGAGAGAAAGAGAGAGAGAGAGAGAGAAAAAAGAAACCAAAACGTAACGCGCGATGATGATTTTTCCCGTTCGTTCCTTCGTTTTTCACGTTCGTTTTTCATTACAATAAGATGGCGGTGAGTGGACCTGCTGGGATATTAACGTTCTACTTACTTTCCGCTCTCGGTTTTTTCGACTTTTTCAAAAAGAAAAACGGTTCGAACGTTGTCGCCGTGAACGAGGATTTAATCAAATACATAATCGGATCCCTTTCCTCCATCGTCGCCCTGTTTTTCCTACGTAATTTTTTTAAAAATTTCAATTCGAAAAAAGTTTTGAATCCCGCCGAACAAATCGTCATGGACGTGAGAAGATTAAACATTAATTTTACGTTCGATGAAAATTCTAGAAAAAAACCCGACGAACCGTAAGTTTTTTTTTTAATGTCTCCCCTCGCCCCCGCCGCCCCCCGCGAAGTATATTTCGATGATATTTTTCCACCGGAAATATTTTAAAAAATCTTTTTTTGTTTTTTTTTTTTTTATTTGCAGTCAAATTTGGTAATGTTTTTTTTTTTTTTACTTCGCCCGATCTTCGTCGACACTATCGACCCGCCCCCCCTCCTCCCCCCGCCACTGACGCCGATTCGTCTGCAACAGGATGAAAAGGAAAATTGAAAATTTGACACATTACTGGCTCTATCTCACTCAAATTCTCTCACTCACTCTCTCTCGCTCGCTCGCTGGCCAAATGCATGAAATTTTGTGATTTTACACGTGGAGACGTGTGCGTGAGTGCGCGCCCCTCCTCCTCCACGTGCCTTTTTTTTTTTTTCCAAAAAATAAAAAATGAATGAAAGAAAAAAAGAAAATTATTATTTTAGTTTTTTTAAATTTAAAATAAGTAGAGGATGTGTATGTGTGTGTCTTTACATATTAATAAATTGCACGGGAATGAGGATGGGGGGATAGGGGATAGGGGAAGGGGCAGATGGTCCGTGGAAGGAGGAGGGTGGGTGGGGATAAGGGGAAGAGAGGGAAATTATATTTCAAGATGAGTGGAGTTGGTTATCCTTCGTTTTTTCATTTCCTGGTTTTTTTTTCTTCCCTGGAATCCGATTACGACTAAAATAAATCTTTTCTTCTTCTTCTTCTTCTTCTTCGTCGTACCACCGCGGAAAACTCCATTTTTGTTTTTGTTTTCAACGCCCCCCTTTCCCCCCCCCCCCCAAAAAAAATATCTTTACGCCCTATTTCCTTTATTCCTTTTATTTTTATTTATTTATTTTATTCGGCTAATGGATATAAAGTCTCAGAGGGTGGGCCGGCATCCCTCTCTCTCTCTCTCTCTCTACCTCTCTTTCTCTCTTTCTAAAGGTCAAAGGTTTTGTTTTCGAATCGGTTTGTTACTGAAACCGGCGGGGGGAGGGGAGAGGGTTTCATTCGGGGAGTTGGAAAGAGTTCGATCGAATGTATGTTTGTTACCTTTTAATCTATCGTCGTCACTCTCTCTCTCTCTCTCTCTCTCTCTCTTTATCATCACCTTTGATCGACGTTGTTTTTCGCATTGAAATTACCTTGTCGGCAACCGGAAATTCGCGTTTATATTTTTAAAAAAAATTGTTTGTTTCTTGTTTTTTTTTTTTTTTTTTTATACGTTTCAATGCATTTATTATTATTATTATTATTATTATTATTATTTATGTAATTAATTGCATTGAAACGTCGTCGTCGTTGTCGTTCTCGTCGTCGTCGTCGTCGTCGTCGACCTTTGATATTTTTGCATTTAAAAATATAAAAAACACGCGAGTTTCCGCTTGCGAATTGATTTCCACAATCGTTGAAAAATTTTTTTATAACCGACGACGTTGAAAAGGCAAATGAAAATTCGGTTGGATGCTTACTCGTATGTACGTCACATTAAATAAAAAAATATTCGGAACAAACGCAAACAAACAAAACGTGATTGTTTTTCTTTAGAAAAGTAGAGAGAGAGAGAGAGAAAGAAAATATTTTGTTACGTTTATTGAATTTCAACGAACAGATAGACAAAGAGAAAAATCGAATTTTCTCTGTTTGTTTGTTTGTTTGACGTTTGACCTAAGTGTTTCGGATTTAATTAATTAAAAATGACAAAGATGTTATAATTGAAAATGTTTGTCGTCGTTGTCGTTGTTTGTACGAGGAATGAAATTGTGGAAAAACGAGCATAGAGGAAAATATTCGATTTTTTTTTGTTGACGGGGAATGTTTGTTTGTCGTGTCGCGAAATCAAACGTCAAAATTCGAATGGGGGGAGGGGGCGGGTAGACGAGAAAAGAATAAAAAAGAGGAAACGCGATTTGAAAGGACACAAGCATAGGAGCAAACATAACGAAACAAACGGGAGTGAAGCCACCACGACAGTAAAATTATCGAATAACGTTTTTTAAGGGGAAAAAAAAAATTTATTCTAAAACCACGATCGTGTTTGTTTTTTTCTCCCCCGGATTCCGATGTAGTTTTTTTTTGGACTATTAAAAAAGGAGAAAAAAAATTCACGTGGCGGTAGAAAAATTTTTAAAATGTTGAGAGAGAAAATGAAATAATGTAAAAATTGAGTAAATTCGTTGTTCTAATTACACGTTAATAAATCAACACGATGGGAAATCATGATTTTTACATATTTATTATTATTATCATTATTATTATTTGTTTGTTTGTTTGTCTGTTTTTTATCTGATAAAAGTCGAGGAGATGAGGTAAAATGACGACAGGTGCAATAATAATAATAATAATAATAAAATTCGTTACGAAAAAAATTTTTAAAAAAAGTTTCCGTTTCCGGTTTTCATTCTATTTTCATTTTTTAAACATTCGTGCCGCGTTCTAGAAAGTTTTTTAAAAAGCGAAAAAAAAGAAAATTCAGGATTTGAACCTGCGTCCGAAATGATAGGTTCGGTTGTCGTACCTTTCGATAAGTAATCGCTGTCGTCATTTAATTTTTTTACGGTTTCCCGCCCCCCCCCTCCCCGCGAAAAAGAAAACTTTGGTTTTTTTTATCTATCGAAAAACGTAAAATGTGAAAAAAATTTATTAATAAAAATTCGTGGGAGTGTGTGAGAGAATGAAAATAAAAAGTTGCATTTGAAATTGATACTTGTTGAAAACTTTAATTGCGGATTCTTTCGTTCTACGCGGCGTGTCGACATTTTTTTTTGTTTTATGAGAAAGAGAGAAAGAAAATGAGAGAAACAGAAGGGAGAGAGAGAGAGAGAGTGAGTGCGCGCGAATGCATTAACGAAAGAAATAAACAAAATTGCATTTAAATTTTGGTTTCGAGTCAAAAGTTAAGAAAAGAAAGACAGAAAACGGGAAAAACGGAAAAAGGAAAAGAATGAAGAAAAAGCGAGACAGAGAGAGGGGGAAGAGGGAAGGGGAGGGGGTAAAAAGGGAGGGAAATTTAAATATCAAAGACTCAAACTTGAGACGCTTGCCTAGAAAATTTGAAAAAAAAAAAATTTTTTTCCGATTGCATAATAAAAATGCCGTTCGAGAAAAATCTTTCTCTCTCTCTACCTCTCTCTCTCTCTCTTATCACGATAGACTGATTGATTGATTGATTGATTGTAATTCGTCGCATATTTATTTTGAATTAATTTTTTTAGTCGTTTGTTTGTTTGTTTGTCTGTCTGTCGGTTGGTAGGTAGCTTGTTTTCGTTAATTCGTTTGTTTTTTTTTATGCTTCTCAAGAATTTTCCGACTTTCGAATTTTATTATTATTATTCTTTTTTTTAAAATGATGATGATGATGATGCTGAAAATTTTGTCTATTCTTCGTTTTCCACCCCCTCCCTCCCTCTTTCCCTCCCTCGAGGAAATTTAAATAAATCGGAAAGTCATTGTTGTTGTTCGGTGGAAAAACTAACGGATTTCCGAAACTTTGATATATAGAGATATTTTCGTATCATGTCACGTTGCCAACGTCGTCTGCTTGTAATTTTTCCTCATTTTTCCGGAAACGATTTAAAAAAAAAAAAAAAAAGAAAATTATACCGTAAACGTCAAACTGATCCACATTTATCCATTCGATTTATATCCCTGGATTTTCCTAGGAAAACTTTCATTATTATTATTATTATTATTATTATTTCGGAATCATTTTTTTTTTAAATTACAAAATAATAATAATAATAATAGAAATGGATGAAATTTTCTTTTTTTTCCAACGTCTATTCGTTTTTTTTTTTTTAAACGTTGGTAACATTTGTCTTTTATCATTCATATCATTCATCTTTGTGCACTTTGTCTTTTATCATTTTAATTATCATTTCTAAAAAAAAATCCTAATTAATTAGTAGCATTTCTTTTCAAAAGGGAAGTTACGACGAAACCTTTTTCCAGGTTTTCCAGGTTTTCCAATTATTATTATTATTATTAATCCAGGAAAAAAAAAACTCCCCTTGACGTAAAACATCATTTCGTTTAAATTGTTTCCTCGTTTCCTTGTTTTTTTTTTTCGTTTCGTAAATTTGAAAAATATGTTTTCTCTCTCTCTCTCTCTCTTTTTTTTATTGCATTTCTGTACATGTGCCTGGAATTTTACGTGAAAAAAAAGGGGGGGATCCATCAATTTCCTCCACTCGAATTCGTCACACTGCGAAAAAAAATTTTCTCCATTAAGGGTTTCGGATAAAGTTGATGTAATGGAAGAAGAGATCGTAGGGTATGTTGTGGTGGGGGGGATTCGGTTTCAATAAAGGGAAAATGACATACAGGGTGAAAACTTGATCGTGGTGGAAAAAGAAAAATCGGTCGAAGTACTGCCTCCCCTCTCTTTCTCTCTCTCTAAAGTCGAATATTTGAATATATTTGAAATATTTGAATTGCATCACTTTTATCACTTCGCCACGATTCGAAAATGCACGATTTTTATTATTTAAATTTTGGCGGGAAAAAAACGGAAATGGTATGACCGTTGATGAAAATATAGGCGGCAGCGACGAAGTGTGTAATGGCGGCTGCGGAAAGTTTGATTGAATATTATTTTTTTTACTTTTTATGGAAATTTTTTTGACCTTATTTGTCTCTTTCCCTCTCTCTCTCTCTCTCTCTCTCTCTCTCTCTTCCACCCGTACCTCGTTCATGTCCGTAAGTTATTGATAAGGACTGCGACTGTGATAAGTAAGTCATTTTAAAACGTTCTAGAAATTTCCATCGATCGTAAACGATTTTTTTTTTTTTTTTTTTTTTGCATTATGTTGCCTGGCTACGTTAAATAACGAGTGCATAATAATAATATTATTCGTTTCCTCCACGAAAAATTTAATCTGGTGACACGTTTAAAAAAATATTTTTTTTTTTTCTCCGAACGTCGTTTCTCAAGATTCGATCATTTGTAGGTGGTCAGTTAAAAAAAAAAAAATTAATTCACGTTTTAACCGACGATCGTG